CCAGCCCACCCCGCCCCCTGGTGGGCTGAGCTGGCCACACACACACACACACACACACACACACACACACACAGATAAATAAATTAAATTAAAAAAAAAATTTCCTAATGTGATTTAACTGAATTTCTCCAAAGTGGTTTGAAAGACAAACATTCCATATCAACTCAAAACAAACATATACAAGTTTTCAAATTTTAGGCCCACAATGAAAATTTATCAACTTTACTTTCTACACAAAAGGCCTAAAGAAATATACAACACTGTAATATTCAGGAAGACTCATCAAGTGTGAACTCCTGACAAAGGCCAAATCTCTGTTAACTACGATACATAGGAATAATAAACACAATTGTTTCCTTATTGTTTAATTTTCCTTTTTGTTGTTTTAATTTTAGTTGCTACTTTCTACCATATCCACCCAACCAACAGCTACCAAGAAAAGGATCTACAGTACTAGTTTAAAATTTTTCAGCTCATCAACATGTAAAAGACAAAAAAACTATCATTTCATTTAACCTCACAACTAAAAGATCAAGCTCTTCTACTTGGTATAGAAATATTTTGGAACATAAAATACCTGTGTACACTAATCCTTTTGAAGAATCTCAACTTTTAGTAGTAGAGCAGTTACCTAGCATGCATTAAGACCTGAGTTCAAGCTTATTTCCACCAAAGGGAGCAGGGGTGGGAGGGAAGACACCCAAAAAATCAACAGCAACTAACTCTGGATAACAGGATTACCTAAAACGTAGTGGGTTCTTCTACAATAAATAAAAACCATTTGTATGATTTAAATGGTTTTTAAAGAATTACTATAAACTGGTGCTGACAACCTGAGGTAATCTAAACTAAATCATGTACGTAATTATGTTTTTCTCAGCTCCAGCACCCTAGGAGGTTTGTTGGAACCTGTTTCAACAAATTACAAACCATCCCAGGCAACTTAGAATTATAAGTTTCAACCCATCCCAGGCAACTCAGAACCTGTCTCAAATATTTAAAGGGGGAGAGGGGCCAGGGAGATAGCTCAGCCAAAAAAAAAAGGGGGGGTAGAGAGGGTAATGGGCCAGACCTGGGGCCTTCAGTATGAGGGTCAATTTCCAGAACCTCCAAAAGGAGTTGTAAATGTCACAAACTGAAAATAAGAATCTTTCCTTCCAATTAACAAACAGTTAACATATTCCAATTCAAGACAGTTGGGAAGGCAGAGTTATAAATTGGTTTGTTTTTTTAATAAAGATTATAAATTGCCCAAATCTGAAAGAATCAGAAGTAAAATTTGTTTATATCCGACCAGCCAGCTTACTGAAATAAAAGAAGGAATGCAAAACTGAAAATCTTACTGTAGTCATTAGAAGTAAAGATTCTGGGGGCAGGGAAGATGCTCAATATAATAAGCGCTTGCCTGGCAAGCCCAAGGGCCTAAGCTCAATCCCCGGTTCCTCAAAAAAAATAAAAATAAAGACTCTGTACCTGTCTCTAGATATCTCCTTATATCAGCAACCTCAAACAATTAAATGCACTGCCACCATCCCATACACACAATGAACTAATTTAAAATGCTGCAATGAAAACACTTTATTAAAGGAACCATTTCAAATTATACACATACACACAAAACATAAGCCTTAACAGTTTCAGGACAAACATCCTTAATATTAGCTTGGGTCCTTTCAAAATGAGGGGTAGCCCCTTATCTGAAATAAAATTATGCACCGAAATTCCCCAGCATGATCACATGACTGGGGAAAAATGAGGTTACTCTTCCTTGTGCAGTGTCAACTGCTATTACTCTTTCCAGGGACTAAATCTTACGATGTGAGAGTAAGTTTTCAAGTGAGTTATCAACACTATGCCAAATAAGGTGAACCATTCCATTTAACCTTACAAAGGTAAAGTTAGGACTCCTATTCTACTAATAACTTTATCAGCTAATAAGATTACTACTCTTAAAAGATTTCTAAGGAAGATGATCCTGTATTTGGCCAAAAGTATAGTAACAAATATCTTTCCTTTATTTATTAGCCACAAATAAAGAATATTGATTTCATTTATTTTGTACCCTCCAAATAACAGAATACTGTAAAATGGTAACTAAGCTGTGTCTTCAAATACCTTTAGTATAAAATATAATTATTTTAAAACAAAAACACAGTTCTATTAAAAACATGAAAATAGAAATCAAAAGATCTGAACCTCAAGCCTAGTAAGAAGCTCAGCCCAATCACCCTGTCTGCACCGAACCACTTAGTAATACCTCCTGTAAACTGAGATTCTGCAAGATAAAAGAAGTCACTCAAGGGGCCGGGGAGATGGCTCAGTAGAATAAGCGCTTGCCTGGCAAGCACAAGGGCCTGAGTTCAATCCCCGGTTCCGCAAAAAAAAAAAAAAAAAAGAAAGAAATCACTCAAGATCACAAGGCTTAAAGAGTCTAGACCAGGTCTACTCCTATTCCATGAAATACGATCTCATTATATAAATGAAGGTACAATACTTTAGAGCATGAAGGAAGATAGATAGGTCCATACATAGGTAGA